GCGTAAGCGTTTAAGTTTTTATAAAGTATAAGCGTACTTGTCGTTTCCATTTTTTTTATCATTTCATCCCAAGCAAGGCAATAAAGCCACTACGACGCAAGGGTTTACACAGAATGAAAGAATATAAGAAAAATAAAGAAATATTATTAATGAGAGAGAATAAAAAAATAAAACGGAATTAAAACAATTTCCCGAAAAACATAAAACTTCCTCGTTAATTCCCTGCTCTGTCAATGTCATTCTGATCATCCTTCTGTAGAACCACATCTCTGTTGCCTCAAATCACTTTTCATCTGGGAGTAAATGCATAGTGCCCACTGCCGTTGATATTACGTAGGTTTTGAGAATTCAGTTCTTTGTTTCTAATGAGATTTTGCTGCAATTCCTGGGAGGTCTCTTGCATATATAGAAATTCACTCGCAAGTCGTTATGCCTACCTCATCCTTCAAATATAAAAACAACGCCATCAACACAAGCATGATGATCAAACTTCCGCACATGAACAAATGTGTCAACCTCTCGGGGACATAGTCACATGCTTATGTTTAGGCAAATATTAAAGAATTCTGTGGTACAAAACGAGATATTTAATAGAATTTAAAAAAAATCGTAGATGTTAACACCTTTAAGCATTAAAAATAAGAAACCATGCGAAACATGCATCGTGTAACATCAAGGTATTATTACTTTGGGCTAACACAATATTTTAGTATATGTGCTTGATAATTCCCAGTTGACAAGCATTATTATTATTATTATTATTATTATTATTATTTCCTTTGATTTTTAATGTCTACATATTTCTTTCTGGGTTCCGCCCATAAACGTAAGGTTAGAAACGGCATCATGACATTTTCCACTGATCAATTAAAAAACAGCACAAACATATTTTACATATATAAAATCCTTCGTAAGGTGTGGGCTGTACTCTTGAGAACATTATTATTATTATTATTATTATTATTATTATTATTATTATTTTATTTCCTTTGATTTCTGGTGTTTACACATTTATTTCTTTCCGGGTCCCACCTAGAGACCTAAGGTTAGAAATGGCATCATGGCAATTTCCACTGACAAAAAAAAAAAATATTTTACATAGATAAAGCCCTTCATAAAGTGTAGGCTGTGCTTGTCAGAACAATTTTTTGTATCTCTTTGAACATGGACTTCCAGGAAACCCTTAAATTATTCTATAGGAATCTTTTTCAACCGGTCCTAGAGCACCAACTACAACAGGTATTGCTGGTGTTCCTATGTGTCACATTTTTGGGATTTCTATTTCAAGGTCCTTGTATTTTGACAGCCTTTTGAATATCTTCAAAGATACACTGCAGTCTTCAGGGACTGCCATATCAATAAGGAGGCACTTTTTTCTGGTTTTTTGGTCTCTAATAACAATGCCAGGGCGGTTGGCTTTGATTGTTCTGTCAGTGTGTATTGTGTAGTCCCATAGAATTGTAACAGGTTGTATCTCCGTAACCAGGTCGGGGTGGTGTTCATACCAGTTTCTTTCAGTTTCCTTTCCGTAGAAGTTGCAATTATTATTATTATTATTATTATTATTATTATTATTATTATTTCCTTTGTATACTTGTTTCCTTCCGGATCCTAACCAGAGACTTAAACCCAGAAATGGTATCATGGTATTTTCCATTGATTATTTATTTTCATATTTTTTTTTATTCATTTTAGCTTTTTATTGAAACAACCTAAAATGACAGAGATTTTCTATAGATGAAACCCTTCGTTAGCTATGAACTTTAGTTTTGAGAACAATTTTTTGTATATTTTTTAAGGCGTGGTCTGCTAGGGATACCTTCAAACAGTCTATCAGAACTTTTTCCAGTTACACCTAGGGCTCCAACTACAACTGGAATTATTGATATCTTCCATGTGCCACACCTTTCAGATAACCATTTTAAGTTCCTTGCAATTTAAAAGTTTATCGAAGAACTTCAAAGATACATTACAGTCAGCAGGAGATGTCATATCAATAAGAAAGTAAATTCTCTTTTTGTGGTCTTTTATCATTATCTTTGGGCGATCCTGTCTTTGTTTGTCCTGTCCTTGATTCTTCTTCTTCTTCTTCTTCTTCTTATTATTATTATTATTATTATTATTATTATTATTATTATTATTATTATTTGTGCCAAATCTGATTACTCGCCTCAGACAAAGTGTCGCCAAATCAAAAATAAACGAAACAATATGAGTCAGTAGGAAAACATTACCTACGCCTCATTGTTCAATGTTGGCATTGATTAAAACAAAATATATTAATGCGAAATATAAAAAAAAAGAATTGAATGTAACGAAACAGACATTGGTTCTGCAATTGGACCTGGGGGTCAAAAGTCTTCTCCATCATACTCGTCTTAATCCGGGAAGACAAGTTGAATTCTAGAATGTTTGGAGCAAAAATTACCACCGTTACTTTTCTTGTAACTGATGAGAATGGTGAAAGAAAAAGAAAAAAAAAATCTAACTTTAATAAATAACAAAGATGCACAGATGTAGACAAGGTAAAATTTCATAATTACAATTTTTGTTTTTTTAGTTACATTAATTCGTCTCATATTTCTACATTTTTCGGCGTTAAAATATTTTGATAAGCCAATGTTTGCCAGGGACGAATATTGGCATAGAATTAAATCACAAACAGACGGAAAGAAAAAAAAACAATCGCATGTTGTTTTAAATATAATTTAATGTTAATGCCCCACACTTAACTGTGTACAGTTGGTCTTAAATTGTGATTTAGAAAACCGATTTTTGCTAATAAAATTTCCCCGTAGATAGTTTCATCCATCTTTTAGTATTTTGTGGGTACCAAAACATTTTGAATGTACTGGTAATTTTCTACACAGGTCTACCTTAGATAGATGTGTTATCTTATCATTAGAACTAATTTTAATGTCTACCTCACTTTAGTCAACGGAGATGTGGTTCTACAGAAGAATAATGAGGATATCATGGAGCGAGTGTGTGAGCAACGATACGGCTCATAGAAAGAAAAGATTATTCCGGGTTTTATCTCATTTTTATGGAATTAGGAATTTATATATATAGGAATATAGGAATTTAATAGCTCATTTTTATTAGTCGAATTAAGATAGACACTTAGTTTTAGGTTATTGTCATTACGGCATAACATAGTATCTAGGAAATGTAAATTATTCTTTGTTTCTGTTTTGAAAATCAACTTCTTCGTCTGTTCGGCAATGTTTGATTTATCTACAGTTATATTATATATATATATATATATATATACATATATATATATATATATATCTTTTATAAAATCATCGTTCCGTTTAATTATGATCACGTCGTCGTCACGTGGACGGTGTTGTGATTTCAGTTATCTGTTTGGATTGGTATTGCTTTTATGTCTATCGTTTTTTTCATGTTGAATTGTATATGGTCTACGTTAATTATGTTTTATGAATATGTCCTGAAGATGGTCTATTAGACCGAAACGTCCGACGTTGACATTGTATTAACATTAAAACAGCATAATCGCATATTAGGATTTTTTGTTTGTTTTTTCAGTATATTTTTCTTCATACTGTCGGATCTATATCCATATATTTGCTTACATACATATATATATATATATATATATATATATATATATATATATATATATATATATATATATATATATATATATATATATATATATATATATGAATATATATATGTATATATATATATATATATATGTATATTTATGGGATAAAGTACTCAATATCAGAGATAGAGCGTGTGCAAATATAAAAGTGAACATAGTAGTCAACACTTAGAGGCGACAGTCTGTTTCATGCTAGATGCATAACGGATAAAAATTTGGATAAATATTCGGAAATCTAGTGTTAACGAAAAAGGCGGGTGTCTCTATTTTCTCGACACCCGCCTTTTTTCGTAAAAGCAAAGGAAAACTGAGAGGAAAAAGGTGTATATATATATATATATATATATATATATATATATATATATATATATTATATATATATATATATATATTTAAGATATATATATAAAGAGAGAGAGAGATGCTCATGCGTATATAAGTGCACATAACTGTGTATATATGCACAAGCCACCAAGCAAATATATGAATATCAATACACGTATATATATATATATATATATATATATATATATATATATATGAAGAACATGACTCGATTATCAGGTTAATGTTTGTTTTTAGCAACTTGCGAAGCTGGTAGAAACTGCTGACTAACGAAGGCTATATTCTATGTTGGATTTCCTCATCTCCGATGCCAAATTTGTTATAATCTATCCATACACCGACTTATTTGAAATGTTTAATATCTACTAAATCCAAATATAGCAACAAAAGTTAAGAAAAAGGAAGAACCCATATCGCTCACGTCCTGTACAGACTTGGCACATCAAGGAATAAAGATGTCAATTATACATTTATACTTTAAGCCTATTTGAATTTTATTTATTACTAGCCGAGGTACTTGGCGTTGTCCGGGTGTACTTGGCGGCAACTGTATAATCGCACCCCAGTCTAGTAATCTTTCTTTGTTCTTAATAAAAGAATTCCATCGATAAAAAACCAACTGTATGGTGTTGCTCGTGGTTAAATTGTTTCAATGTTTCGATGCTCATCTAGTGAAAATCTTGTTCACGTTTTATTTTGCCATGGTTTTTGCAAAAAGTCGTTCCCACGTTTAGTTTCATCGATTTTCCTGCCAAAACCGGGGGAGATGGAGATTGGAAAGTTGGACTTGATCTAACGTGGTACATTTGCAAAATGTGTGTAAAATTATATCGAAATTAGTTGTGAAATGTGGATGTGCAAAAATAGCATACATATACACAGGCACACACAGACAGACACACACACATACAGATATCTTCTGTTTTGTAGATATAGATTATGTCTCTATTTTCATAAAAGATATTTTATCCAATCTTTACGTAATATATTTTAATAATATTTTAATACATTTTAATAA